AACATACCAAGCCCGGTCTTCTTTCCATGGCCAATGCTGGAAAGAACACCAACGGCTCCCAATTCTTCATCACCACTGTCGTTACCTCTTGGCTTGATGGTGCTCATGTCGTCTTTGGTCAGTCTTGTTCAATTCGTAAATCCTACCTTCTTATTTGTCATTCTCCTTCTATAGGTGAGGTTGTTGAGGGCATGGAGATCGTTAAAGCGATCGAGAAGTGCGGATCCGCTTCTGGAACGACCTCAAAGAAGGTCACCATTGCGCAATCTGGAACCGTTTAAAGGACTTGAGTAATGGACTCCAACGAACTGTTTGTTGTATTATACCTAAGTACTAAAAGAACAGTGAATTCAAAGCGGATGTTGCTCACGTTTCTGCGGAAGTTCAATTATTACAATTATGTATAATCTCTTCAGTCAGGTTGTTGGCATCAGCAAAGGCTAAATGATCGTGGCCCTTGGTGTCATGACGACCTACTTTGAGTTGCTTGGCAGGGTTTTCCCCTCAAATTCTGCGACGTGTCAAGCTGTCTCTGATACATAATCACGAACGTTGAGTGCAACTGGATTGTATGAGCATTGGGCCCTTGAAACGGATTGTCTCCTTCGTTACGTGAAGTAGCAGGCAAATCAATGCTCTATGTTCGCGACTTCGGATGAGCGACGTTATTTCCAATGGACACAGATAACGAGGCGCCACGCCAGGCTCCTCACTTCAACCCCTCAACCTTGAGTAGCGCCGGGCCGAACCTCCAGGGCTTATGCGAGCTCAATCTACAAGCGTCAATCTGCCCTGTGGTTGAGCATCGTCATCTCATTCTCCCAAGCTGGGCCACAGGTACCCTTCACAGAAACTTGGCACCGTTCGGATTCGTTTTGACATAATGTTCGGTGAGGCTCTTGCCTCTACGTGCGACATCCGGCAAACAGCCTATCACATAGTGGGGAAGGTAGTATATGACGATATGTTCGTCGCATTTTGATTCCTTACATGTCGTAGGTCCTCAGCGGTCGTCAGAAATCTGACTACCTCCTGATAGGGAGTACTGCTTATTTCTGTCTCGCTGGATCAGTACTTTTTAATGTTCAAGATGTCCCGTATGCTCTTTCGTTGAGCCCCCATGGTCAGCCAGTTAGGGAATCCTTATTGCTTGATATATTCTTTCATAGCTCATGCGGTAATTAGTATGCTTTCTTTCGGCTTATCACTGAAGAACATCCTCGGTCTCTCGAAGTACTCCGGGCAATTGCTACCATGGGCATGTTCCGCCTCCTAAGCGTTCCTGAATTCTCCATCGACTGAGTACCAATCCCCTAACAACTTCTCTGGCCGAACTCGCTGGGAGGGTGGTGCATCTAGCTCAATCGGTATATTGACCGGCCTATTCAGCCTTATGGGTAAGGAAGATCAGCCATGAGCAGATTGTGGTGGGTCTACATCTATCAATTTCACTTCTTGAATGGGTACATAGACGTCGGCCAAGTGCTGTGCGGAACCGTTGGTCCGGACTACGTGCCTTGACTCATCTCCAGGTCAATATCAGGCACTTCCTTGTTGTTACAAAATAAGGTCTCTTCGGTAGGATGTTGCATGCATAGAAGGATTGTTTTGCAGATAATTGCTCACCTGGTTCTAGAATGTCTTGCATCGGCTCAAGGCACTCTTCTTCTGGAACCTCATCCGACCGGCGATTAATACAGTAGAACTCTGTTTCTATTTTTTTTTTCAGCTTAATTTCCGTTCATTGGTTGTGATTACATATATCTAGCGACATCGTCACTGTATCCGGCCTTGGCCAGGTACTTGCTACTTCATTCATTCATGCGCATGATGATTACAGCGCTGTATCCGACAATACAAGAAATCAGGATGGAGTTATTCCCCTTCTTTTCCAACGGCAACCCTTGGATGGACCAACGAAAGCGGTTCTTTACACAGTACTCTATCTCTTGCGTCTCCATAGTTTATACCTTCTCTCTAGAGGACCCGTATGTCTGTCCTCCTGCCTATTACAGTAAATGGATCCCTGTCCTTACCTTATGTTCTGAATCGCGGCGTCTCTCGGCCGGCTTCTTCATACATCCGCGTATGGCGCTTGGAACTAACACTAACATCCTCCGTTCATTGAGCCCGATTTTGTCATCGTCAGATTCTTCATCTGAACGTCTAGGTCGCCGTTCCGCTTCTTCCGCACTATTGAATCGAGGGAATACGAGTACCTTCCGCACTGGGTTAGTCTACCTATTGCTCTTCTGACCTTCGGTTGAAGTGTCTGCTGCTAGTTACATATCACCGCGGCAGAGGGGCTGGTCTTTAGTACAACAACCAGTCCTTAGATACGAAAAGCCCGGAACAATGCTATGGGTCAAGCCCGAAAGTGAAATCGTTAACACTCTTATGGTATCTAAATAGGTGCATAGCTCAAGGTGTCAATTTTCACTTGATGCCTGACGCTCCCGCTCTCCTGCAGCATTATTCGGGACAATAATACGATGCAGCTCAGTCAAAGGCATGTAGACGACATTGATGCACACCATGTCTATGGAGACTCGACTACAACATGTATAATATCTACCGCAAGTGACGTAAACAGGCCGAATATGAGAGTCTTCAGCTACATTATATCTTTTTCCTTGTTCGCCATCCTTGACTTGGTTACAGCAAGTGACCTTAGCTGATATATTTTGACGTAGGTAGGTATCAATACAGGAACACTATCATCAAAAGTGTGTAGTGCCATACAATCATTCAGTAGTTTCTCGTGAATATTATTTCCTTATGAATGTTGGTTGGATTGTTCGCGGAATAAATTGAAATAGAACATCGAAGGGTGTTGAAATCATGATTCTAACAGTATTTCCTTGACTAACTCAAACACATACAACACGCTCTACAAGCTCCAGAATCCGTGATGGGGACCATAATCCAAAGGCCAGCGAGCATAGTATGGCTGAATGTCCATGCTATACGGGTCGACTCTGGAGTAAAGTTACAGTCGTGAGAAACACCGACATGTAAAGAGGTATTCAAGTCGAAAGGATTCGCTTTGGCTCATAACTTGACGGAGGTATGTTGCTATTCACCTTAGAATTCTAAATCCTCATACGATAAACTCTTCTTTTGGAAAGGTAAAACAAACCACAGAGATCGAAAAGTACGAAGATAAGTCAATTTACTTTCATAACTTTTTCACGCCAAACGCTCAACTCGTAAGCGAATGCAAGCCCAATCTTCGCAAATTCGAAGGTGTGAGACCAAGGAAATTCTGGAACATGGATAGTGTCATTTTCCTAGTGTCTGTAGGGATTGGCAATTTCGATTCGAGTGGGAAGCATGTCGGATAACCATATTCATGCCAGATGGCATGGTCTGAGCAGGGGTAGCCGCACTGTAAGTGAACCATGACTTGACAAGAAAGGATGAAGATAGATATCAAATGTACTGGCCGGATTGCTCTCAATGTGAAGAAGAGTGGAGTATTCTTTAATGATTCGAACGAGGAAAGTACTCAGACCCGCACTGACATAATCCTAAGAACGATCAGCAATCATTTCAAGTGCGTGTTCAATGAAGATTATTACTGGCATAACGGCAATGACCTCTTCGATACCAAGTGGAATGCTGTGGGAAAGGGAAGTTAGCTGACCTCGCAAGCAACAAATAGATCTTTGACATACTAGGTAGTTAGGACGAAGTTCTTCATTGCCTTCACCCGTATCCCGGCATCGTTATAGCTCTTCGCAATAGGTTGCGACCCAAGGCTGCCCGGTTCCTCGCCGGAGTACTTGACAACACCAAATGTTAGCCTGCACGAAGTTCGCTCTACAAAACCTCATCTACGATCGTACCAATGAAACTCTATAGCCGTTCTCGGCTTGAAACCAGAAGCCAAGAAAACACGAAAGACCTCGACAATGTCGGCAGCGGCGTTATCATCCGCACCGGGTGCTCGACCTTCACGCAGGTTCTTGCAGTTGATGCTGTCCAAGTGAGCTGCAATGATAGTAATTGGTCCATCAGTTAATCCGGGAATTCTAGCAATAACTGAGTTCTGAGCCCAAGTGTGTACAAAAGGGTGCACATTCGCACCACTTCCCGGATACTTGGAAATGATCTAGTTATTTTAATTCATCGGCGTGATGTAGCCTTGAACCAGATGAATCAGCTTACGTCTCTAACAGTTCATACGAACCATTCCGCTGACTCCGCGCCACCGTCTGTGACAAGATATCGGTTGTGATAGACAGTGATTTCATTAACCCAGGATTGATTCGGAAGGGAGAGGTTAGCAGTCATCTCCCTCACCTCGTGCTGGTGGGACGGAGGAGGATCTAAAAAATTGACGGAATCAAATGGAGGAGCGTATTGAAAGAAGCACCAACACGTCGCAAGAACGTGAAACGTCCCTTGAGGCTTTACCTAGAGCATTGGTGAGCCTGTACATACTGGTAGAATTGAGCTCAAGGCGTGATCGTCAACAGGTATTAAATACAAGGATTGAAAACCCTACGATACTATGCATCACGCTAGATTTGTTTAAATTGGTGCCAGGGGCTTCCGGAGGAACAATGATCGCAATAACGGACGCAGCGACAATAACGACATGCAGAATAGCGTGGAGAGGCTTCATAGTGGACCACGGCGATAGGAAGGGAAGGGAGTGAATGTTGCAGCAGATAGATTATGAGTAAGGGAGAGGTGTGGTGGTAGATGAAAGTTGAATGATACTGTAACATTGTGACCAAGTCTATTGGGTAATTCATCAGTGAAAGTTTCCTGCTGACAGATTTTTTGCCTGGAGACAGGCAGTCAAAGTAAAATCAAAGTGAAAGTTCCATAAGGGAACTGTTCCATTCTTGCGTCCCCTCTTGTTCCCATGTGAGCCATTGGTCGCAACATCCCTGCATTGGTTCTATAAAAACCTAGTTTCAACTTATTTAAACAATAGACAGGAGGGAAGTAGAGTCCTAATGTTTTTCAACCCAGATATAGCATTATCAAGGCGCTACCAGGGTTCGAACCTGGGTTTCGGGAAACTTTGTATTAGAATCAAAATCCCGAGTGATAACCACTACACTATAGCGCCAATGGCGTTTTCCTTCATCGTACCATTATGTTATTCCTGAGACGTCCTCGGGATTTTCGACAACATGGATATTATATTGACTGTGTATACGATTGGTATGTTGTTCCACTTTAACAAGTTTTCTACCATTCGAAAAATGCACGTCAGAGGTATAATGCATCTAAAGATGAGAATTCCAGTGTCATGGTCAAAAGTCAAAAGTCGGATTGGGAAAAAAGATCCGGTCAGTCCGTTCGGCCCAGGTCCCTCACATACCACCCTTCCACCCAGGCCCTTCACTCTCGATGGACCTACTATTTACATCACCAGCCCCAACACACCCGCGACCACACCGACGACACCCCCCACCTTCATGCTCATTCCGACAGCACCATTACCCTTAGAATTAGTAGAGTCGGTTGTACCAGATGCGGCAGTACTATTAGCACCGGAGCTAGTGGTGGAGGCGGAGGGGGACGCGATGCCGGGTGTTGCGGTGGGATAAGTTGAGCCGAGGGGTTTTATTTCGAAGGGCTCGGAGGTTACAAAGACCTGGGAAGGGAAGTCAGTTTGTTACTAGGATAGATAGAAGAAGGAAAAGTAGGGAATTGCAAGAGGGAAAGGAAGGAGTAGACCAAGGAAGGAAAAAGAAAGACACACATCGGTCGAATTCAACGGGTTAGCAAGCTGGATGGTGTAGCCTTTTCCTGGAGCTGCGTTAAGCTGATCGGCGGTCACGGTCTTTGAGCAATCAAAGTTATTTTCGATGCTGAGAATCGCCAAGGGAGATGTGAGGACTTTCGGATCCTAAAGGCGCGTGAGCATGAGAAACAAAACATAAGACGCCAAGGATGGGAACGGAAGGGGTAAGGGGACGAGGTGGAATGAAATAGGGGTTCTCACGCTGTTGGCTATGAGGACGATAAACGTCGGGTGGGCGAGAGCAGCAGGGTCTTTACATGACCACGAGAGCGTGTTCATGGATTTTGCGACTGTTTGTGAGCAAGTCAGACGTTTACCAATTATTCAACGCAAGAACCCATACCCCACCAGACATCAGTACTTGGCGAAAAAATCTTCCAGTCAGCTGCGGCGGAGGCGACAAGGGCGGCAACGGCTGCAAGGCGAGTGAACTTCATGTCGAATTGGTAAAAAGGAATGTGGGAGACAAGGAAGGAAAAGAAGAGTTCGATGCTTCCCGTGTGTTTACGCAAGTCGAGAAGAATGCTGCGGGGTTTGAATTTCACGAGGCATCAGCCTGTTGTCTGCTGTCACTCATCTAGATCTGCAGTCTTAGGTAT